TTACTAGAATACATTGGTATTGAAGGAACTAGATTCTGTTCCGAAATATCACTTACTCGAACCGTCCTGACCGCGTAGCTCAGTTGGAAGAGCATTGGGCTAGTATTCCAAAGGTCGTGGGTTCGAATCCCACCGTGGCCGGGCATATTTTTCAAGCTCGCCCGGTGTGGATATGCACTCAGAGTAACACCACAAATATCATATTCACCTGAGTACACTACACCAACACAGAAAAAAAAATTCATATTACTAGAAAACATTGGTATCGAAGGAACTAGATTCTGTTCCGATATATCACTTACTCGAACCGTCCTGACCGCGTAGCTCAGTTGGAAGAGCATTGGGCTAGTATTGCAAAGGTCGTAGGTTCGAATCTCACCGTGGCCGGGCATATTTTTCAAGCTCGCCCGGTGTGGATATGCACTCAGAGTAACACCACAAATATCATATTCACCTGAGTACACTACACCAACACAGAAAAAAAACAAACCTCAGAAATCGTCTATTCCCAAAAAAATTTATATATAAATAAACCAACATTCACAGCTGGTGTTACATTTGTAAGCAGTTGACCAGTGTTGGGGTGTGATATACCACCCCAGAGCCCTGGCGTGTATATCAACTGTTGATTGCTAAAAATCCTTGAAATATTAAATATGCCCCTGGGAATGAGGCTGCTTTTATATAGGTGCAAATAAAAAATATTTTAAAAACCTTCCCCCCCTCCCTCCCTATAAATTTTGAAAAAAGGTTGCTAACCAAGTTATTTTGTTTATTTGGCCTCCAATACGACATTTTGGAATTTTTGTATTTTTTGGAGCGGATCAGCAGCTCTGCCAATGTGAGCCATGTTGGTGAATTTGTGAGTTCTTGCTTTAAAGCTTTCTATAAGTAACAAAAATACAGATAACTTGGTTGCAATATTTAACTGATTAACATCCAAAATTTTCCATTGATGAGTAAAATTGTCTGGCGTTAACCAGAGTGAATATAAAGGGTGCATGGGGCCGCATTGCATGTTAAAACAAAGGATAGTTTTATCTGATTGGTTGATTCTTTCACCATTCTGCGCATGTGTATTTCAGCTGTTTTCTCGCGAAGCAATTAGCTGAAGGAGCGAAGTTTTTTTTGTTTAAATCGCTTTTAACTAACTTTTGTAAATACTTAATGAAATAAAATAAAGAAATCGGTTTTTATCAACGAATTGTAGTTCTCTTTGTCTTGTTTGCATTTTGCATAGAGGCGTTACAAAGCGATCACAAGCATTTTTGCATGTCAAAATTATCTCTGCCGATCTTTTTCCTCGCTTTTACAACATTGGACTTTAAACAATAGACCAACCAGTATACGTATCCAGGTAACGTTGTATTCCTTTTTTGGCAACCTGTTTGACTTGTACTTGACTATGCTACAACGGCGGGAATATTTGTCCGAGTCTCAGTACGTTTTGTACAGCTTTTTTCTGAGTTGCTCGACAAATATTTATACAACTTCGGTATGCGGTCAAAAGTGCCTTGCATTGTTTGTGGGAAGACCTCTTCCCTGTCTGGTTTTGTTTTTAAAAGTTCTGTTAGTAAATATGTTTGTAAACCGTGCTATAATCGTCAAAAACGTTTCGATAAGTGTGTCTGTAAACCGTGCTATAATCGTCAAAAACGTTTTGAGAAAGCAACTGCTGTCCGTGAGGCGTCAAACTTGGCTTCGGAAACAACCATTGAAAAACCAGAGCCTACAGTTATAAATTTAGAAGGTATGTTTTTAAATGTTTACCTGAACTTGATAAGCCACCTGTCGTTCCTTGCTTGAAATTTGAAAGTGTACATATACCATATTTTTTATACACCGTCGGTATTATTTTCAGCCGGCAACGAAAACCTCCCCCCACATCTTGCTGTGACAGGTCAGTGAAACAATATAACCATGTTTACATTCATTTTTATATTTTATTGAAATTTTACAACTCCTTTATTCTGCATCTTGAGATAGAAATTTATGGAGTAGAACATATAGTGGAACAAATTGAAGACTGTCAATAATTTTTATCTTGGTACTTCATATAAATTCTTAACAACAATAGCAAGCTATGAAACTTTATACCTGAAATTCTGACAGGGACAAAAATGGGGGAGGTGGAGTACTGTATGTGTGTCAAATTTTCTAAGAAGCGAGGGCAACTCAAGTAGAGCTCCTGGCATATCAACTTGTTTTCTTCAGAAAAATATCATGGGATACAGTAACCCCCTCCCTCCTGTGGCCATCAATCAACTGATAAATTTAATTTGTTCTAACGAGAGTATGACCAATCTTGTAAACATGTTTGCTACCTGCACACCCGAATTAACAGCTGAATTCTTCGACCCACTTATGGAGCGTGAACGCCTGGAAGCACATGACTACTGTGCATCAGCTGATGTACGACACTTGCAGAAGTTTGATAATGTTTATCTGATCGACTTTTTAAAACTCCCTTTAAAAGGGCACAAACATTTTTCAAACAGCTTTAGATGTCGTTTGTAGTTCTAAATTAAAGACATATTGCTCACAATTTGTTGTTATTTTCCCAGGTGATTATCCTAGTCAATTTCACCCAAGGAAAATTATTTTTACCTTTTAAAGCAATACCTCACCCAACCTATACTGTAATTTAGTTTGGGGTAACGCTTACAAATCCCACATTCAAAAATTAGTAAATATGCAGAAAAAGATAGTAAGATTAATGACCTTCAAATCCTATTTTGACCATACTGAACCAATTTTTAATGACCTTAAAATACTAAACTTGTATAAATTGAATGACTTCTTAACAAGTCTATTTATGTTACAATATTTTCATCTACAAAATCTTCCAGAAATTTTTGATAAATATTTTTTAACTAACAAAGAAATCCATAATTACAACACAAGAAACGCATCATTGCTCCACAAAAGTTGTACTAGAACAAATTATAAAAAACACACGCTCGGTAATAACGGCATGGATGTGTGGAATAATCTTCCGACGCAATATAAGCAAATTAGATCTCTTCCAATATTTAAATCTACAATGAAAATATATTTTCTTCTGTCAAATTTAAATAAGTAGAATTCTTGGCACAAAGTGAAAAGCCAAATAATTGTTATAGTCTGATATATCTTTTACGCACTTTCCTCATTGTAAATATATCACCGTAATTCTTTTGAAAACAATTGGACTGGTATTAACTTTTAATATTATATTATTTGAATTGTAACTAGGGACCTTAAACAAAAGCCTTATGGTTTCTAGAAGGTTCCTAGCCCTACTATTGTAAATATTTTCTATTTAAATTGTTAATTTTATAAACTGATTTGGGCGAATATATTAAATAAAAACCAGTCAACAATGCACCCATTTCGCCACTGCTATCAATCATTCCAATGATCGGTACGTCCCTTGCACATTGATTTAAATTCAGATGAAGACTTGGTATTGAACTTCATTCCACTGCTGAAGCAAATCTACGAGGCTGTGTTCAAGGGGAAGAAACTAGGAGGCCATCCCAAACCATGGCACATTCAATTTATACTTGATGGGGGGTGGTCCCTTATAAGGTGAACGGTTAAGACCATTTTTCGAAGGTGCAAGAATATCCAGTATGGTACCTTGCTAAACTTTCTAGATCATTGCTGTCCACTTATCTTAGCGTCATATACTACACTGTTCAAGACTAACAATTTTAAGGCATATTTCAGTTCCATCATTCATATATGGATAATGATGTATTCTTTTCACAGACATCACTACAACAAAGTATTGTTAATATGGCTTTCTTTTGTGAAATTCTGGGAAAGCAATGACCTCACCCAGGATATATTTAATACCTTTGCTAACCATTTGAACATCATTGATGAGTCAACCGTTGAATATGTCCACTCAGTTATGAGGAGACACACAACTGACTCAGCAACTGACGAGCAACTAAAAGAAACAATTAAAGCTGTATTTGGCACAAGCATGCGTCAACATAATTTTAGAGAAGTATTTACACCACCTAAGAACTATGTTTTTAGTAGAGTATAATAATCTGAAGTATTTACACTCACAAGTTGCACATGGTCTTGTTGATATCTTTACCAGCATAGCTAATAATCCTGATGAGACAATCCATCTACCCAGAAAGAAGGGTCAGTGCAAAGATTGTGAGAAGTATATCATGCCATCTCTCTTTGGTGAAACATTGGTGAAGAGTTCTTTTCTTCCCCTTGGATTTCAGTGCGACCGGAAACCAGATGTCCAAAGGAGATGTGATGCTTCCAATTGTGCCTTGACTGGAGAAGACCATGGCAGATATTTGAAGGTTGCTGGCATTTCACAGTGAGTGCTTAGCTGGTTGTCAACACTGTTCTATCTGCCAGGATCACCTCAAGAATGTAGTTAAGAATTTCTCCAGCTCAGCAAATGCAACACTACTTGAGGGTCTTGATGATAATGATGAGTCACATGAAGCAAACACAAATAGTGCAGGTGATGATGATGATAATGACACCATTGATGATATCGAAGTAATACCAGAGATAACTACAAAGCTGTTGTGAGTCATCTTAATGAACAAGTCATTAAACTAAGCCCACAACTTCCATCTAAAACTGAAATAGTACAAGAAGCACCAGTTAATATAAAGATTAGAAAGCCACCTCATTGCTCCAAATGTTACCATATAAGACTAGGTCAGTAAAAAATTCAACTCAAACTAAATGTCCTGAATGCCCTGATCAGCTGTGCTCTTATATGCCACCCTTAATACCATGTGTTCTGTTTGAATACACACGTTTTTAAGACAGAGAATATAAAAACATATATTTGGCGCGAACGCATTGTATGACGTAATTACAAGACTTAAATAACATACGTCAGAATAACAAAACAAATATGTAACATCTCCCGTTGGAGATTAAACAAATATAAAGTTAATAAAGTTTGCGTGAATGAACGTTTATTTGTCTAGCTATATCTAGTCGGTTTTCGAACGACTCGACCAGATCTTGTGACGATTTCGTTTGGTGGTTCTGGAGAACTGGGTCGAGTTGTCACTTCTAGATCATCATAATCAAAGTCATTCCGGATCTGGAATCTGTCCTTACACGGGATAAGGTGGCGGCGGTTGCGTCTCACAATGTTTCCTTTGTCATTGAGGACACGATAGGACCTTGGCTCGGCACACTTCTCCACGACTTTACCAAGTTGATTCCATTTCTCATCTTCCTTCGCACGGATTCGAACAACAGTTCCTGGTTGGATATCAGGTAGATCTTTAGCGTGTTGATCATATCTTTCTTTTGTCTTCGCTCGGGTGTCTTTGGGAGGAGGGGGAGGAGGAAATGCAGGTTGGATTAGGGAAGGCAATGTGGAACGTGGTTGACGACCGAAGAGGCGCGCAGCTGGTGACTTGTTGTCGTTTCCAGGAGTGGTATTGAGGACTAACAAGGCAAGGTAAGGGTCCTTGTTGCCATCATGTGCTTTTTTCAAACTCTTCTTAACAGTTTGGATTGCTCTTTCCACGAAACCATTGGACTGCGAAAAGTGAGGACTTGAAGTAGTGTGTTTAAAGTCCCATTCTTTGACAAACTGTTTGAAACATGCCGCTGTGTATTCTGGACCATTGTCGGAACAGAGCTCTTTAGGAATGCCATGTCGAGTAAAAATCTTCTTAATTTTATTAACCACAGTGGCGCTCGATTTGTCGGTGAGTCGTTCAATTTCAATGTACTTTGAGAAATAGTCCGTAACGATAACGTAGTCATGTCCATAAAGGGAAAACAGGTCTGAGGCAACTTTTGTCCATGGTGCATTTGGAACCGTAGGTTGAATCAGAGTTTCCTTCTGTTGCTTGTTTCTGTAGGTTAGGCAAAGTGAACAGTTAGAAACAAGATCTTCAATTTGTGCGTTTATACCGGGCCAATAGACAGACATTCGCGCACGATTTTTGCAACTTTCAATGCCAGTGTGGCCCTGGTGTATGATTGCTTTCATGGTGCTGCGCAGTGATGTTGGGATGATGATGCGTTGACCTTTGAGGAGTAAGCCGTTGTTGTAAACAATTTCATCACGGATGTTGTAGTATGGCTTGACTGTTTGAGGAATGTCACGTTGTTGTGGCCATCCTTTAAGAGTGTATTCCTTGAGTTGCTGTAATGTAGTGTCAGAGGCTGTCTCTTTCTGAAATTCAGTCAGGCGAGCATCGCTGATGGGAAGGTTGTCGAAAGTGAATTGGATACAGTGAATCAAATCAGGTTGATCAATTTCAGTTGATTGGTTGTTGAGGTAGGCCCTGCTGAGTGCATCTGAGACGACCATGGTTTTGCCAGGAGAATATTCAAGGTCGAAGTCATACTTTTGAAGCTTCATGAAGAAGCGCTGTATTCTTGGTGGACATTGAGTGATGGATTTACTGAAGATTGACTTGAGTGGTTGATGATCATTGAATACAGTGAAGTGATGACCGTAGAGGTACTCATGAAAGCGTTCCGTTCCAAATACAATCGACAGGGCTTCTTTTTCGATTTGTGCATAGTTCCTTTCATATGGTAACAATGCTCTAGATGCATAGGCAATGGGGAACCATTGGGGAGAATCGTCTGAACCATGGTTTTGTTCAAGGAGGGCACCAAGACCATCAGCACTTGCGTCAGGTTTCAATCGAGTAGGCAGGTTTGGATCATAAAACTTGAGGCATGGAGGTGAAGTGACCAAACGTTTCAGCTCTTGGATGGCGTCCAGTTGTGGTTGCTGGAGGTCAAAATGAACATCTTTCTTGAGCATTTCACGAAGCGGAGTGGTGGTTTGTGAGAGGTTGGGGACAAATTTACCCAGATAATTCACCATACCCAAGAATCGTTGAAGATCACCTTTCGATTCAGGAATTGGCATGTTGACGATTGCTTCAACTTTGGAGAGATCAGGCTTAACACCATTAGCAGAAAGGGTGTGTCCCAGAAATGTGAGGGATTCTACGGCAAAGACACATTTGCTTCGGTTGAGCTTCAATCCACTGACTGGGATACGTGTCAGTACATCTCTGAGGCGAAGGTCGTGCTCTTGTTTAGTTGTTCCCCACACAATGATGTCATCTTGGGAGTTGGCACAACCTTGTAGATCAGCTATGATTGAGGCAACTTCTGCTTGAAAGACTTCACTGGCAGAGTGTATCCCAAATGGGAGGCGTTTGAAGCGAAAACGCCCGAATGGAGTTCCGAAGGTTAGTAAGTCTGCGCTATCTTCATCTACTTTTATTTGCCAATATCCGGAGGCAGCATCAAGCTTGGAAAAGTACCGAGCACCTGACATTTAAGAGATTATTTCTTCGGTTGTGGGTAGACGGTGGTGTTGCCTCTTTATGGCTTTATTTAGGGGTCGAGGATCTAAGCATATCCGCAGCTTGCCATTTGGTTTGGAGACAATGACTAAGGCGTTGACCCATTCGGTTGGTTTTTCGACTGGTTCAATAACATTGAGCTCAACCATACGTTGCAATTCCTCTTTGAGCTTTGGCTTTAGAGCAAAGGGTACTTGTCTGACAGGAATGATTACAGGTTTCACATCATCTCTTAGTTCGATGTGATGTGTTCTCTTCAAACATCCAATTTCTCCAAAACAGTCAGAGAATTCCTCGTCAATAGGAGTATGAGATTGCACTTCCTCTGAAATTTGATACACTTGTTTGATCAAGTTCAGTTTGTCACATGTATTTAATCCTAGTATGGGGACTGAGTCTGAATCTACAACCATGAAGAGAATGGGAATTGTTTGTCTCCTGTGTTTGACTTGAGCAATGCACTTACCAGCAACAGGGATAGTTGTGCCATTATATGCAGAGAGCTGGACGTTTGCTGTTTTGAGCTTAGGTCTAGGTGAGAGGTTGGAAAGTAGGCGCTTTGGAATTACATTGCACTGGGCTCCAGTATCTATCTCGAAATTGACATCAGTTCCATTCACGCCCAGTGTGACAGACCAATCTGATTTGGTATTGTTAACTGTGAAAACATTGGGACTAGCATTGGTTGGCATGGATTTGGGAATTGGGGTGTTTTCACCATCACCTTCAGTTGAGAGATTCTGATTGGTATCAGTGACTTTAACCATATCGATGAAAAATTCATCATCAGAGGACTTATCCTGCTCAGTAACACATTTGACAGATTTTTGGGAACAGCAAACAGCGAAATGATTCTTACGGTTGCATGTTCTACACCGTTTCCCGTAGGCAGGACAGTTGCCACGTTGGTGGGAGCCATTACAAAACTTACATTTCTTGATGACGTCATCAGGGGCTCTGCTAGATTCTTTGAGTTTTCTTTCTTTTGAATGATAAACTTGGTGAATATCTGACGATTGTTGATGTTTTTCGAGTTCTTTTGCGTGACGCTTGGTTTCCTCTGCAGCAATACCGGCATCAATGGCCTTGGCAAGGGTTAAATCCGCATCGCGTAAGAGTCTTTCACGGAGGGATTGATCAGCTACCCCACAAACAATCATGTCCTTAATCAGTGAATCAGCTAAAGTCTCAAATTCACACTCAGAGGCTCGTTTCTTAAGTTCTATGACGAAATTGTTGAAAGACTGACCTTCGTGTTGGCTGTAGGTAAAGAATTGATGGCGAAGTATAGTGATATTCTTTCTAGGATTACAATATGCACTGAATTTTTCTAATACGACCTTGAGTTTCAGCTTGTCAGTTTCTTGTGAGAAGGTAAATGTCTCGTAAATTTCGCGTCCTTTGGGTCCAATGCAGGTTAAGAGAATGGAGGTTTTGACTTTATCGCTCTTTGAATCTGATTCAGTAGCAGTGAGATAAAAATTGAAGTGTTTTTCCCATATTTTCCAGCCATGAGATACGTTTCCTTCAAAGGAAAATGGCGGCGGTGGTTGAAGCTTATCCATAAATGACGATCAAATCCAAGTAAAATCTACCAAATTTCGAGGCAAAGCGAGACACAACGTCAACGAAGAACGATCAAACGATTAGATATATAAAAATTCGGTTATAAACAAACTTTAGCAGCGAAAATCCCTTCCTGACACCATGTTCTGTTTGAATACACACGTTTTTAAGACAGAGAATATAAAAACATATATTTGGCGCGAACGCATTGTATGACGTAATTACAAGACTTAAATAACATACGTCAGAATAACAAAACAAATATGTAACACCATGTACTTGTGCCTGGCATGTTTCGAATAGCACTACAAATTTGTAAAATGTGCAAGAATATGCAATATTAAAAAGCTATTAAATTAATGTATAAAAATATGAACTTGAGAGAAAATACCAGAAAATACTGTCAGAGAATTAAAATAAATCATCACTCATAAAATTTAGATTTCTTAAGAATTTCTTGAAAAATAGTTGCTCAAGACACAGTATTTACTTAGTGTTTATTTGGTTTGTTCTTGCTCAACAAGTTAGCTTCAATATTGCATTCACTTGGGCATTATTTAGGTAGTTCAGAAATACCGTGCACTTGTAAAAAGTTTCATACCTTGTAAAAATAAATAGACATGACTACAAACTGAAGTATAAAGGAAAACAGTTGAG